AAACAAATTAGTCTTGGCAAATGGAGATCCCTATGGGCCCTGTTCTACTAGACCAGTGTTTTTCAAACTTGGCAACTTGAAGATGTGTGGACTTCAACTCTCAGAATTCCCCAGTCAACATGTTGAGTCGAAGTCCACACATCTTCAAGTTGCCAAGGTTGAGAAACACCATACTAGACTTTAGAAAGGCCATTAAAGTTGGCTTCTCAAGCAGACTTCGGGGCCAGAAGGGTGACAAACTCCTCCTCCTTATAGTGTGCTGTTCTGATTTTTGAATGACATTCATTGTTTCTAGCATGGAATTGGGAGTTTCCTGTTACTCATATGGTCTTTACGTATAATTTTTAACCTTAATTTTACAGAACAGGGTATATAAGCTGCTCATGGTCAGTGATGATTAAAATGGCATATAAATCCAGTAGGTGAATAAACAAACCAACACATTGGTCTCTTTTCTCCTGTGTGTGATGGGATAAGGGAACGGCCTTGAGGGACAGAAGGAAGAGCCATTAACAAGACAACAATCAGATAAAAGAAACCTGAATCTGGGCAGAACTGTAATCTGAGAAAACATCTCAAACAAGGCCTTCCCTAGTTCTCACAAGGGAGGGGGGAAGCACAGACTTGCAAGATTCTGCTACTATATGCTTACAATAAAAGTAATTTTGGCCTACATGACTTTGGTTTCCTTATCTGGTCTACCTTGAAGAACTGACACCGTATGAACGGGAGATGGACTCTAGAGTAGGGCTGGGTTGACGTGGGCCTTTTTCTAGTAGAATCCCAAGGCCCACAAATCAGACCAGGGTACAACTGCAAAACAACAAGCATCTTGGAGCCTTTGTTCAGTCTTGCAATTTGCACCAGGGTGAATCCACAGGTCTATCACACAAAACTTCACCTTGGCTTCTCTATCAAGACCTCGCTATTTCAGCCACTGTTTCCATATACCCACTCTTAGGAACAGCCTCTAATTCATCCAACCTGTGAGCTTTTATCCTTCAGCAGCTTCCCTCATGCATTTCAATGCTTCAGGTGAAGCTGCTGAGACCTTGCTCACACACCTTAAGTGCAAATGAACCATGAGTGAAAGTAGCAGTCCCCAACTGCACCCAATGTTACAAATTAGCTATTGAAAGTTTGCAATTAACACTTTACAGTTAATACTTACCTTAGCTGGACATTAGCAAATTAGAAAAAGGCATATTGTGAAGATTTGCCCGTTACCAGGTTATGCAAAAGCTGGTTATTTAAGCAGATATTCATGGAACATTAACTGAATGTATAGAATTCTGATTTTGCCAAGAGCCGATCAAACCTCTGCAAATGCTTCTCTCCTGAAATAGACCTTCTTTTTCATTTCAAGCTAAAATGAATTATATTCCTGCAGGGTGATACCTTCAAGCTAGACTCTGCACTTCTGAAATCCTGTAAGGGTAACCTTCTTCTCCCTTTGTAAGAACCATGGCAATGTGGGATATGTAGACAAAAAAGCTTATTATTCATTATTATTAATGAAATGAAATGAAATGAAATGAAATGAAATGAAATGAAATGAAAGTCTTCTACCAAGAAAACACATCTGGTACCAATATGATGATTTTTAAGGTGCTGGGCTACTAATTTATTCATTCAGGCTTTTAAATATTGTTGTTGGCAGTGGCACTTTCAACTTCAGTGTTTATTTTTAACTGTGCTGTGTATCTTCAATTTCCTAGTTGGCTTAATATCTGCAACGATGCTTCCTGCCACTACCACCATCACCCCCGGCTGCTGGTCTACAAACTTTCAAACATATATTTGCCATATGGATACATCTTGATCCAGCAGTCTCAATTCAAATCACAAACACTGCATTTGGAAGATCAGGGGGAGAAAAATGCTACCCTGTTTGATGTTCTCACTGAACAGCATTTCCTGGCTCTTTTCAGATCAGAAATAGAAATATGAACCTTCTTTCTCCTCAGTGGAGAGTCTTCCTATTGCAGTGCAAAATAAGGTTAGAAAATCTAAGCAAGGTTAGAAAATCTAAGCAAGGTTTGCTTTTAGAAGATTCCCACCTTCTTTTCTTGAATTAAAACAAGGCACATATAGGTAAGCAAAGTATAGGAACTTCTACTGTGGCTATGAACCCATCCCATTCCCTATTTTACAATTATCACAATTTGCAAAGTTAGTCGTACTTCATGCCTGCTCCTGAGGATTCCTCTTCCGAAATGGAAGGGAAGTGACAGGATCAGGCCAAGAGGGATCAGCAGCTTCACAACTTCCAAAGGCAAGACCACAGTGTTGTGGACAACACAGCAGAAAGAGACCATCTTCAAGAGCCTTTCACAGATTTTAGAAAGTGAAGGCCCTTGAAAGCAGAGGCTGGTAGGCTTCATGCTCACACCAGGGGCACGACTGAGTTAGTGACCATTCTGCTGAGCTCCCCACTCCATGGAAAGGTCTTCTTCCTGGCTGCAAGCCTTGAAGTTTCAGTTCCGGTGCTCAGCCCCACTTTGGCCTGTGCAGGTTTCAGACTCATGAATGTTGCCTCTCAACTGGGTGCACTGGCTCAATATCCCTGTGCATGACTCATGTTGGCTTGGTAGACTGCCTTATTTCCATGATGCTGAACTATTTCTTGTCTTGTCCTGTGGAAGACTTTTACTGCTGGCCTTAAGTTCTAGTTGTCTCCTTTTTATTCTGGGTTGATCATTGATATTTAAAATAGACCTACCTCCCACCCAATCTGAAAAACAAGAGCCACAATGTCATCTTTCGTATTATCATATATGGTGACATGTTCTTCTGCATCTACTTAGCCTCCTTCAATTGCAAGTGGTTATTTGCATCAGAAGTCACCTGAAGGCGTTTCCACCTATTGTGAATATTTGGAATGAATATCTCATTAAGTGATGAGTTATTTCCTGCTTAATGTCAGTTAAAAGGATGCTCACCATGTCCCTGACAACTCATGATCTTTTATTGGCATGTACGAAACTGTATTTGTGCTACAAACTTAATCTAGCTTAAAAGAATTGCCCACTGCATGGAAGGATTGTTCTGGGAGGGGATTAAGAATGTCTAACAGGATGTTCAGCTGCTATAGCGAACTACAGCTCCCAGCTCTCTGTGGAAGAAGATTCCCAACAATGCAGCCTCTGTTAGTTAAATTTATGCGGATAGCTGTTTACTGTAGCAGTGGATTGCAATTGCATCATTTGGGTAGTCTGAACATTATTTACTTTGCAATCCTCCCTATCCACAACTGACAAAATACAACCCATAAGAAGCTTCATGTTACATGCAGAATTTTCAGGTAAAGTGATCTTTCAAAGAGTACCTGACTGCTTTCTATAAATTAACAGGCACCTGCTTCAAAACAGAATGAAATCTTCCCACATTAGCCATGAAAGTAAAAGACTGATGCTCAACCTGCAGCCACCAGGTCGCCCCCCCCCCCAACTTCCTGCCTTTGCTGCTGTGTATGAGAGTTGTGAATGTGTGTTTGTGCATGAAAGGCTGAAAAGAAGGTGGAGGAGGGAATGGCATTCCTTTTCATAATTAATTTTAAACCTAAGGCTCAGTTGAGACATAAGGGGGTAGGGTTAGTGTGTGTGTGTGCATAAAAATTTAACAAATAGTTAAGTTAATGAAAAGCAATCATCCCTATCTAATTAATTTAATATTTGCCTCCCAGCTCACTTTTTAAATATTTTATGCCCTGCTTCCTTTTGCAGTTAAGTGCTCAACATGCTGGTTGAAGCTCCCGTAATTGTCAGTCTACTGAGCCTCTCTGATACAAAAGCAGATAAAACTTTTGCTTTGGGGCAAAAGTACAGTTTAAAATGAGGTGGTGTATGAACCAGGAGAACTGGATTCAAAACCCTGCTTAACCACGAAGCTCATTCAGCAACGTTAAGCCAGATTCTACCTTTCCTCAGTCCAACCACCTCACAGGGGTGTCGTAAGTATAAACTGTCCTTTGCTCTAAGTCCTTGCAGAGAAGGATCAGAGAGTAAGTCAAGCCACCACAGCACTGTGCCGCTTCTGTTACAGGCTTCGGCTATGATGGTCTGGACAGGTCACTCTTTTACTTGCCTTTGCTCGCTTGGCATGCAAAGAAAAATAAATCTCATATCAGTTCATACATATTGCATTTGTCTACTCCAATTGTGCAATGAAAAGATGCTGGCTAGAAAAACCCACAATTTATTCATTTGTTTTTCAAACCAGAAAGCTCTTATGGCAATGATCACTAATGTACATTCCAGAATACCTATCAACACATGACAGATAACTGCACATCCCAACGCACTTCAAAACAGCAGAGAAGAACTCCAGCTGCTCTCCAAATTGAGAATATTCTGCTGTATTCTGCTGACGCTCCGCTATATGGGGCACGTACCCCAAATCACGTGTCTCTCAGCCTGGAAGGCGATTAATTTCCTCTAGCCACACTGAATAGTAGTAAATCATAATTCAAAGAATTCATATTTCGGTTCTAGGAACTCTGGAAGATAGGAAGTTAGGAAGCTGGAGGAATTCCAGCTGTGAAATCTATATATGGCAACATGTTACTTAAATCCCACTGGGGCAGGCTTGAATCTTGTTGACTGCATGGATGTACACTTGTGATCTTGACCTGTCTTTAGTAAGACGTTAGTCTTGTGGATTCTAAAATGGAGCCTCAGTTGAGTTTTTATGGTGGAAAAGAAGTGGACTAGAAATAAATAAAATGGAAGCCATAAATCCAGAATGCCGGGTGAAGTAGACAGACCAAGTCCAGTTGCACAATCCTAAGACGGCCTTAGACTGATTTTCCTCTTCCATAAGCTTTTTCTCCTCAACCTCCCATGTGGCATAACAACCAGGAAACAAGATCCACTAAAATGAATAGAATTTAATTCCAAATTGTGATCTAGGACTGAACCAGTGAGGGCGGCAAATTGTGGTAACTCAGTGGGATTCTACTCAATTGCCCTTGAGAGATCATCACAAAGAGTCAAACTTACGTAGTTAAGTAGTCCAGAGCCAACTCTGACCCAGATGGCTTCTTAGGTTCTTTCTTCTTGGCCACAATCCCTGCTTCTCGCATTAATTTCTTTTGTGCCTTGTTACGCTCCTTCTTCAGCTTTCTTTCCAATGTCCTCTTCTGTTCTGGAGAAAGTTCTTGATCTTCTTCCTTCTCCTCTTCCTCCTGCTCCTCTTGTTTTTTCCCCTAAGAACAAGAGAAGAAACGTAATCCACCATTCATAACCCACCAGTCATTACACACAACCCATACTTGTGAGAACAAACATCTGTACAGAGGCTGGTGACTCCTTTACCTTAGATTGACTACTGAGGCAATGGTAGAGGATTCATGCCAGAACAGACAACTGCAGTTATGGCCACAATGGTTCTTGAATCCAGGGTAGCATTTCCATAGCACCTTTACGCTACGGTTTGACACCTTGTTGTCATGTGTATGGAAGGCAAGATTCAGAAAACCCTCCTGCAGAAAGGAACTGTCCCTGTCAGCCTGAGAACAGGTGTTCCTCTGTTGGAATTTCTATGGAAAGACTCCTAACACCTCTCACTAGGCCCTTCCCTGCATGACCAGAAGAATTTTATGTGAAATGTCTGGCAAACATAGACTTAAACCAGCAGCACAAGCCGTTGCTAAGTTTGCTTGTGTTTTGCTAATGGCCAATTTGTGTGATGTCTTACAGTAGTATCTCATTTTATGATATTTAATTTTATTGTGAAATGCCTGGTGACTCTGTGACCTGTAATAAAGTTATTGATTCGTCTATCCCTGGCAGGATAAGACCCACATTGGAGGGGGACCTGAGGCTGCATTGAGGTATGGAGTCCCAACATGGGGGTCACCCAGGCTGTGGTAAAGAGGGCAGCATCCTGCAAACCCTCTTTAGAAACCACAAAATGACTAGTGGTACAAAGAAGAACAGACAGAAAGACAGAGATGCATGTCGTCCAAAGACCTTCATCAAATATCTGGGGCTGGAAGTAGACCAGCCATCCTATTGAGCTTTGAGGAAATTCCAGAGCAGCAGAGATACCACCAAAAAGCTTTATTTATATTTGAATTGATGATGAACTTTTCCATTGCAGCTTGTAGTTACATGTAGTGAGACAATAGCTTATGCGTTTTTGGAGGGAAAGAAAAAAAAACAGAAGAGTTACAGAAAGTGAGAAAAGGATATAAAGAAAGCTTATGTTACAAATACGTTGGAGTCATGCTGTGTCTTTAGATCTGTAAAACTGGAGCTTGATCAATTATATGCTCTATGCACTGAATATTCATTAAAAGGAATTAAGCAGATGTACTGGAAAAGGGAGAAAAACATGGTAAGCTGTTGGCTTCAAGTTTGAAACAACAAAAACAGAACAGAAATTCAATTTTGAGTTTCCTGGACTCTCCAATAGATGGTTAAAAAGCGTGGGTGATCAGCCTTCCTCTGTTAGAGATTTAATAAATCTGAAGTCCCTTTAACAGGTATGATACACATCCACCGATAATTCCTTTTCTGATTAAGTCATTCATGGAACGGTCAGCTTGGTTCTGGAGAGGAAGTTAAAGTTTAACAAATCTGGATCTCTATGAGGATCTTTGGATCTAGGTTCTTCAACTGTGACCCCCCCCCACCAAAGTGATGACACACTCCTAGAAGGATGTGGGAGCCCTAGATTGTTAAAACTGGCTTAACAAAATTTGTCACCTTCCACCTTTCAATGACTTTTATATCGCCAGATAGAAAAGACTGGAAGGTGTGATTCGGTACGGTCTACATTTAACTTGTTAAATTTGAGTTGCATTATTCTGTATAACAGTTATGGCATTTTGAAGTATAGTAGCGCTGGCCATCTGGACATCTGCAGAAGTTCCCCTTCTGTTGTCCCTGAAGTAGGCTAAATGGTGAGGGGGTGACGCGCCTTGTCCACCCCTTTGAGGGAATTCAACCCCAACTCTTGCTTCGTTCAGCATGCAGCTCTTGAATTCAAGCATCCGGGCTTGAATAGGGAGGCCAGGAACTACGTGCTTGGCCCGCATCTGATGCTGGTCCCGCTTTTGCCATTTTTCATGTGTGTGGTCGATTACGTGAAGTGGGGCTACCAGGAGCGCCTTGCTTTGAACTTTCGCGGACCAATTTGCTTTTCAGGGTGGGGTGGGGTGGTAAAGCTTAGAAGGCTTCAAGTCTTAGAAAACCAGCCCAGGCAGAGGGAATCGGACGCTTTTCAGGTCTGGAGATGGAGAAGGGAAGGAGAGCACTACCGACGCCAAGGAAAGGAGGAGGAGGACCACAGAGAGGAGGCCGTCTGCCAAGCGAGAGCTCCACAGCGTGACCGAGCTGCATTGAGTTGCTTTAATGAAAGCCAGGGTTTCTTCGGAGAGCGGACCCAGCCTCCAGTGACTGAAATCAATAAAAACAGTCAGCGAGGGGCCCGGGTGGGGGAGGACCATTCACCACTTCAGCTTTCCAGTTTACTTCCCACTTTCTCCTCTCCCTGAAAAGTTAAACTCCGATAAACGATGCGCTTGCGTATGCTCCAAAGCTGCTCTCCCCCCACCCCCTCCGTTGGTTTTTCATTTGCTTTTCGGTCTAAAGGATTGGTAAATGGACAGTCTTCCCAAGCTTCCGTCCAGCAAACCCCCTTCCTTCTCTTTTGGAAAGCAATGAAAGAATTGTTTTGAACCAGGAACCTGCCCAAGCGGACACTTCCGGATACATTCCTGACTCGATCTTACTGTTCGGGAGCGAGCGAGGGGGGGAAACACCAGTGGGGGGGAGAGGAAAAAACAAACCCCAAACCCCACAACCACTATTGAAGAGATGAAGGAAGGGAAATGCGGAATTTTATTGAGCAGAATGCGCCTTGCCTGGATAGAATTCACAGTTGCTGGTGTGGTGAATGCTAAAATGGCTGAAAAAATGCGCTGGAGGGGGTGATCCAGCCCAAAGCAGAGCAAGAAAACCATCCGGTGTTAAAGAGTTCAATATCTGCTTCTGGTAAGTCCCTTCGTAGTTTTTCGCCTTTGGGTCCAAAAGCCTGAAATCCAACAGCATGACCCCTTTATGGTTACCTAAACATGCTTTCCACGCACCTTCTTTCTTTTCGCTCTTTAAAGACTTAACGGTGTAAACAAAGCAGATTTTTAGCAAGGGTTTGGGCCAAGAGATCTGTCATCGGAAGGAACGGCCAAGTATGTGCAGAACCCCCAAGGAATTAATCTCTTCATTTTCGCCCTGTTTTTAATTTGAGCTATTGACAAGTGCTCGGCCGCTACGTAAACCCACCCGCTGCCAAAAGAACGCTTGGGTGTTGTGTGCTAGGAAGCCCAGTGTGTTTTCATTGGGGAATGTTGTGGAGGACGTGCAATGAGAGAATTGCATTGATGAAGGTTGCTATAATGATGGAGCACGGGTCTATTTGAGGCATTTCACAGAGCCCTTAACTGGCACAGCCACTACCTGGAGCTTAAAGCAGAGGGATGACAGGCAGACTGGGCTGGAGGGCAAATTGAGGAACGCATGGGAAAAGCAGCAGGAGCAGAAAGTTCTGATGCCAGCCACTGTGATTGCTGCATGCCTGGAAACCTGGCTGACCGTAGCATTTGCAGAATTCAGAATACTTTCCATCTCTGAAACAGGGGCATGCATGTAACGCCCCTTTCTTTTCTAGCATGCGTTGTTATATGACCACCTGTTTCAGCAAGACATATTACTGTTTTGCTGAAGACCCTACATCACACTTGCTACGTTCTCTAACCCCATCACAACCTCTATAAATGCCAAGAGATTGCTAGCTCCTTTGGTTTAGCAGAGCTAGCAAAACATTTTTATTTGCGCCAGCTTATAAATAGCTCAGAAGACACAGCAGCAGCTGCTGGGTGTGAAACAGTCAAGTGGGCACTGCATGGGGCCTTTAGCATTTGTGCACAAACATGTCTAAGCATTGGTGCTGAAGGAAAAGTCATCCATCGTTTGATCAAGAGGTGGGGAAGGAACTGAGATCCGAAGAATGAGCAGTCTGGCATCTCACACTTACCAAGAATTCCACAGACCTCTCCAGCAGGACAAAAATAAAAATCCCCCCTGGCAAAGAGGTCCCATAAAACAATATAAAAGTATTTGTATTGTTTAGAACATCCATAACTGTAAATCCATATCATCAAGGAAAGTTTAATTTGGGCCTAGAAATCCTAACAGTTGTTCACCCATCCTCGGTAGCAAAATTTGTTCTACATCAATGCACTGGTGGGCTTCCATCTTTTGGATTGGTCTAAAATTTGTAGGATAACTAAAATATTATGGTGACCTCCATATATGGATGGACATCATGGACAGGGGACAAAGGACAGAATGTGTATACTGCCTTCCATCATGACTTGATTCTGCTACCCATTATCAGGTCCATGGGAACCACCTCTCTGAGGTGATGGTAGCTTTCCTTGAGTTCCTTGTATGAGATGGAGAATAATTCTAAAAACTGCCCAGTCAGACTCTGTCTCCTTGCCATTTAGTCCGTATCAGAAACATTCATGATTTCTCTTCAACCATTTCTTCTCTTCAACCTTTATCTTTTCTGAGGATTTAGGAATTGCTATGATGTTTTGTTCCAGAAGACAGATCAAGAAACAATGGTTTTTAATTACAAGAGAGTAGATTTTGGTTAGATTATCAGGGGAGGAAAAAAAACCTCAAATGTTGATGCCTTGGGGGATGGTCTGTCAGGGATGCTGGGGTAGGTGGACACAACATCTCCAGGGGTCTTTCCAGCCCTTAGGTTGTATGAGTCTTTTCTCTAGCTGGTTTTTAGCTAGCTCATTGAGAACTACTACTCCCCATGCAAAAAAAACTAGGTTCAACCCTCTCAGCATCTTTAGATGGGGTTGAGGGAATGACTCTTGCAGGATCTCAGCTGGTTTGTGTGGACAGGACTAAGCTTGATAGGTTAAAGCCTGCCTGGATAGAAGTTTGCTTCCTTGACCTTGAACATCCAGCCAGCTTTGGGCTCTCCACCTGTCACATACTTTGTCCAGTCATTCAGGCTGACATATTGCCAGATCCTCAATGTTCTCCTGCTGCACAAAGTCTCCCTTGGGTTTGTCTTGGCACCAGACTCAAGTTTTAGGTGATACGCCTCTAGCGTTCAACCAAAAAAAAAAAAAACGAAGGGAATATATGCCAAATGCTGTCAAGTAACATTAGCTAATCCACATTTCTCTTCATCCAAGGATGAAATTCTCCCTTCAGTCTGGTGCTGACCACAAGGTTCTAAATCACTATTCTGAATCTGCAGCCTGATTCAACAATAACAGAGAACACGGTCAGCCATTCATTATCCTTCAGTAGAGCCCAATTTCTGCATCTTTCTTGACACTATAATTTCACTCATGCTGATTCCCGACAAGTACTGATGTTTTAAAACAATTTTTAGGGGGGAAAAATGGCCAGGTCCTCTGGCTGACTATACATTTCTCCAAACTGCAGTCCCAGGTTTCATCAGAAACACATCCTTTGCAATCAGTGGAACTTATTTGTATAAATGTGGTTTAGACTGACTTGCAGAAAAGAACACAGAGTAGTAGAAAGTGTGGTTTAACTCACATCATTTAGATATTCTGCCCAAGTAGCTCTGAATTTATTTATTTATTTATTAAATTTCTCCCTGCCCATCTCCCCCCAATGAGGGACTCTGGGCAGTTCACACAAAACATTAAAAAATACATATAAATACATAAAACGTAAAAATTTAAAAACATCACTAAAAAAGAGAAAAAGAGTCCAAGAAGATGATGGGGCTGAAAACAGCAAGCCTCTATGGGGCTAGCCACCCCCATGCTTGAAGTATTCCTTCCCCACCCCAGGCCAAGTGACAGAACCAGGTCTTCAAAGCCCTCCGGAAGGCCAGGGGGCCAATCTCACCTCCAGGGGCAGAATATTCCAGAGAGCGGGGGCTACTGCAGAGAAGGCTTGCCTTCTGGACCCTGCTAATCGAAGTTCTCTTACTGTGGGGGTCCAAAGCATGCCCTCTCTGTGTGATCGGGTGGGACGGGTTGAAGTCATGGGAAAGAGGCGGTCCCTTAGGTAACCTGGTCCCATGCCATGTAGGGCTTTAAAGGTGATAACCAACACCTTGAACTGGAACCAGAAGCAGACAGGTACCCAATGCAGCTCGCGGAGCAATGGCGTTACATGGGCCCTTCTTGGGGCTCCAAAGATAGCCCAGGCAGCTGCATTCTGGACCAGCTGT